TTCAGTTTTCTTTTACATGTCTAGAATCATAACAATTTTTTAAAGGGCTATTATGCAATTATTTTATTAAAATATGTTTTTAATTGTTTTTACCATGATAGACCCTGGACATCCGGTGTCATGAGAAATCGAGTCCCCCCTCGAAATCGGGTCCGCTTAGGACCCCGAGTGATCCCATTGGCTCAAACTTTTAATGGGTATTATTTTTAGCGCCTGATTACAATTCCTGCAAAATCGCGCTTTGATTTATGTCGTTTGAACTTCGTTATAATGACCATTAATGTCTTTTAAATTACATGTTTCATACGCTAGTATCCGAAGCTATAGGTTGTGAAATCAAACATTTCTCGTTGAGATTTATTAATAGATAAATAGATGTATTTATCTATTTATTTTTTGGTTAGCTCATGTACTAGCATAGCATACAGCTACCCGATTAGCCTGCTAGGTTAGCTTATACACCACGCATTTGCACTTACCATACATATATTCACAACGAAATAGTAACACAAGTGTTGACTTTTGATCAGGCATTTAAAACAGCTACCGCCTTGGTCCTAAGCAGACCCGATTTCGAGGGGGGACTCTATGGCTGTGTTTGAAATGGCATACTTGCTTACTGCTTACTGCCCATTACACAGTGCATACTGCCTATTTTTTTTTAAAGAATAGTGTGTGAAACCGTATACAATAAGCAACAAATGTTTCAGAGTAGTATGCTTAAGTGCTGTCACATGACCAACACTGACCATTAATTCAGCACAGCTGTCAAGGTTGTTACCTTAGAAACAAATGAGCTAGCTGTTCTTTTTACAAAGGCTTGTTAATAAGGCTTCATACTAGTAAACAATGCTATATTGCCCAATTGAACTCATTTCATAATTGATTAACTTTACATATTGGACAGAACTAAATCAACACTGAGCTGTCTTTATTGATATTTTTGGTAGTTACACTAAGTGGCGATATATTAAAAAGCGAAATATTCTAGTTACACTAAGTGCAAATAATGATCAATTCTGTTTACACTAAAATAGCAGCATTTTCTTTAGCAACAGGAGTGTAAATAGTAGTTAGGTGGCAGATATTTATACCTCAATACTG